CGGTTCTTTACTGTGAACAGAGCACCGATATAACGTTCCACTATCTATATCTGTACCTGGTGGCAGGTTACTAGAGTGGACTGAGTGACCACGGTTCTTTACTGTGAACAGAGCACCGATATAACGTTCCACTATCTATATCTGTACCTGGTGGCAGGCTACTAGAGTGGACTGAATCTATACGTCGAGAAAACTAATTGTGGTAAAGTTTAAGTCATGACATTTCTGAGGTTCTTTTGTAAAAGGAAGGAGAAGACGTGTGTGTGTAATGTTCTTTGTTGTTGTTTTTTAACGGACACATTTTTGTTTAAAATTGTCAATGTAGTATTTTAACCCCTACCAACAATGTGAACACCCTAACCCATGTTTATGTATATATCATATACACACACAAACATAAGAAACGCAAGATCATTAGTCCAATTTTTTTTCCACTTTTAATCTTAAAACTTCTGATTGGATCGTATTGAATAATGCAATTAATTCGGTGGAACTTTTTCATGTACCCTGGTGAGTCTTTGGGTTTTTTACCATGCTAAACTCAAGGGTTCGATTCCCCTCGGTGGACATAGCAAGTAGCCCGATGTGGCTTTGCTATAAGAATACACAGACAAATGACGCGTTTCAGGGCAATGGTCGCCGGCAAATGTAGACTAATTATTAAGTTATTTCAAGCTTCTGTCAGTTGTCCGTTGTAATAACGCGCGGGAATAACGTATACTAGCGCGCGCGCAAACGCACACACATATACGGTTAGGTTAGATCTTTTAGTGAAGATTTATTGTTTCTTTATTGTAAATGTATGGACTTACTGTCTTCCAATGAGATGTGAGAACCATGGTTTCAGATTTTATCACCGATTTTCATTTTGGCTTGACAGACTCTCATTTCGACTTTTATTACCTGACTTTGTAGTAAGGTTTAACACTAAGAGAAATGTTAGGGTTACTGTAACATGCGGTTTGTGTTATTTGAATTTTGATTAATTAGTTCCTTGCTGACCCAGCGGTAAGCTTAATATCGCTAAAATGCTGGGTTCGATTCCTCACTGTGGACACGGAACAAATAGCTTTTTGTGTAGCTTTGCGCTTAACAACAAAGAAACGACAATTTTTTTAATAGTTTTTTTCTATAACCAAATTAAGATGTCAACATTTTAGGGAAAAATTCGAGACAGGTATTATAATTTTTGGAGGGAAGAGAAAACAGAAATATTGCAAAATAAATAAGAACAGTTAATGGAAATGTTGTTACACTATTATATATTTACATAGGTGGGGGTGGTTACTCGGAAAACGTCATCCTTTACTTCGATAGTTAAAGTGGCTTAGTAAATGTGTACTAAGTTGAGGTGATTGCCTAAGAGGCAGCGTCCTTTCATAGTTGTAATAGATGCCCAGGTAGGTTGGGGTAAGCGCCTAAGTTACAGCATCGTTTCATTGTTGTAATAAATACCTACATCGGTTGAGGTAATCGCTTAGATAATTGTTGTAATAGATGCCCACGTGTGTTGAGGTAATTGCCTAGGTTACAGCATTCTTTCATTGTTGTAATAGATGCCCACGTGTGTTGAGGTAATTGCCTAGGTTACAGCATTCTTTCATTGTTGTAATAGATGCCCACGTAGGTTGAGGTAATTGACTAGGTTACAGCATTCTTTCATTGTTGTAATAGATGCCCACGTAGGTTGGTGTAATCGCCTAGGTTACAGAAAGCTTGCATTGCTCTATTTTAATTTGTTACACAGATGGATAACTGAGGTGGTGGTTGTGTTGACAGCTGGAGTCTGTTGGTTGTTACATAGAGATTAATTTGTTGTTGTTGACTTTCATTTGTTCTTCTGAAACAGCCAATAGGCACTAAAACAAACTCACAGTACGAGATGATTTGGACTTGTGCCAAATGCTACACAGCGATAACTGGTTCTCGTATGTTGGGGACGTACCACAGGTATGTTTAGAAACTCTATATACATGGATTTATATACAGATTCCCTTCGAAGAAGGGTTGGGAAATGGGTCGTGGTAGGGATGGATAAACCGCTGTATCCAGCTCTTGGTTATCTCTGATAAGTGGCACGTGATAGCGTACTGGTGTTGGACGGCCTCCTTACCCCCCTCTGTCGGCTAGGAACTCGCGTCTCGCTAAGGAAATGAATTTAAACCTTGTTTAGGGCACTGAAGCGGCGCGAGTAGACGTACGTGTGATTTCGCGGATGTTACGCAGCCTTGCTCGCTTTAACTATCAATATTCAGTGCTGACAGCAGTGATGAAAAACTCTCCCGCTTAGTTATAAAATTATTCTCAGTGCCAAGTTTAACCGGATTGTCTAGGTTGATGTCCACGTTGATGCACGCGATAGGATTTTATTAAATATATTTGTAAAGAAAGCTGCTATAAATGGATATACGGCTGGTCTAATCAACTAGCACATGATTGACGTACAACTGCGGGTCTCAAGGAGTTGCAGAGAGTGTAAAGACCCAGCTAATCCATGGAGTAAGTTGTTAAAGAATTGTTCTTCTGTGTTAATTGATTAATCAGTCTTACATTTACCATTAATATAATGTTTTCATGCCCATAAGTTGGTGAAATTGTTAAGTGATATATTCTAATTTTCCATCACATTATTTTGGTGCAAGTTTAATTTGTAATATGCATATGTTAAAGTGAAATATTTGTCATTAAAGATGAAGGGAATCCAATAAATGTTTAATAATCGTGTAATGATTAATTCTTGGTATTTTAGATTAGATTGGAAGTGTTCTTTGGTTTAACATGATTCAGATTGTCAAATTATATAGTTTAAACACTTTCCTGAACTTGTTTCTTAAATTAAATGAACAAACAGTTGACAAATTCTGTTACCACATTAAACATCATTCAGTTTTTAACTTTAGCGAACAGTTGACAGATTCTGTTACCACATTAAACATCATTCAGTTTTTAACTTTAGCGAACAGTTGACAGATTCTGTTACCACAT